AAAATCTGGTATCCTACTATCTCCAAAGAAATAATTCAACAACACAAACAAAAACTTAACAATTTTACTTGTATTACACATCTTCTGCATATTTCTAATTTCAATATAAATATAAATAATCTTAATATTAATATACTATCTCCCTTTAATAATTCTAAACTTAATTTAATCTACAACTTTCTTCCTTTAATCTCTAATACTTCTACAATTTAAAGTCTTAAAAACAATAATATTCTCTTTCTTGTACAAGTTCTTATAGCTACTAACTCTCATCTCTTATCATAGAAAAATATCTATTTCTGCACAAATAAAACTTCATGTGGTAAAATACCCTTATGATATAACAACCTTTGTAACAATTTAAAAAACAACTCTGTCTCATCCTTATAGCCTCAAATACAAACTTTACAAATAAATCCATTCATTAACATACTCAAACTAATATCTACTTCATCAACTACCTTACTCAAAAACAACTGGACTATATTCAAAACACAAACACAAATTAATATTAGAAAAATTACTTCTATTAATTCAAATAATCTTATTTTCTAACATTACACCTTTATTCCTAATACTATTAGATATATAAATCTCCTACCTTCTAACCAAACTACTCAAATCTTCTCCTCATCTACAATTAACTTTACTTGCAAAAGTCAAGAAAAAAAACAATATTACAAAATAGCTATCGACTACAAAGAAATCTTAGCACTCTCTTAACTATATCTATTACTATATTATCTAACTCCTACTATTATTCCTCAAATTCATATTTAAAACCCAATATGCGAACAAATTTCTAACTCAATTTAAACACTATCATACCAACTCGAACTAATAAATCTATATCATAAAATACTTAAAATAAATTCACTAAATAATTTACATTTCTATACAGATGCTTCTATACAAAATCTTCTCTCTTCATACATAAAAGCCAGTATTAGTTGGATTTTAGAAAATAATACAAGTATCAAGTTCAATGCAAACTCAACTAATACATATAATACTACACGTGCAGAGCTTGAACCTATTATCTACATACTCCTCATTCTTCCAAACAATCTCAATATCCACATTCATTTAGACAATTTCTCTGCTATTCAATCCTTAAAAAAATTATTACTATCTAATATCTCAAATACCTAAATTAAAAATGAAAACTAGGATATTCTACATATTATAAATTATCTTACTAAAAACAAAAACATTTCGCTTTCACTTCACAAAATTAAATCTTACTCTAAAAATACCTTTTATTGAAATGCTAATCTCTTAGCAAAAAGAAGTACAAACTGACAACCTATTATACTAAATCTTAATTTCTTCAACTTTCCAACATTTTTCTCTTAGCATAAACTCCTTATCCCTATACAAATAAGAAAATTTTGCAAAAATATTATTCTCACTGAAACTACTAACCATTTTTTGCAACTTCAAAATATTAACAACATTCCTAAATTCAATATAAAACTATTTTTTAATATTATTAACTCTCAAAATCTTAATTCTTATCTCTATACTTTTCATATAAAAATCCTATTTAATAATTTACCTACAGTAGCTAACTTAAACCTTCGACTACCATCTATATATCTCACTTCAAACTGTGTTCATTGCAACTTATCTGAAAACTTATAACATCATCTTCAATACTTACAAACTTCAAATCACTCACAAATATTATTACAAACTATTTCCCAAAACTCTGTCACAACTAAATATTAACAATATATTCCCACAAAATCTCTACCAAATCATTATTCTACAAATCAACAGTTCTTCTTATGCTAACTACATACTGCACTTAATTTAAGGAACTTTCTATAAATATTATTACTCAACTATACTCTCTTCTACACAGAAATACTACTTCTTTTTGTACTATATTCTCAAATCTTCTACTCAAATAGTTCAATCAAAAAATCTGATAACCAAGAAATAAACATCAACATGACTAGGAAATTCTAAGAAATATTACTAACAAATCCAAATGAACAAAAATAACTTACACCTCAAACCTTATAAATACTTCAACACATCATCAAAACTCAACTACTATTATCAATAGTAATATTGATACAAATATACAAAAATAGTTTATTCAAAATGTTCTAATACTTTCTATATTTAACTAACTATAATTACTAAATTCAAGGTTTCTCTTCTTCCTTTTTTTTAACTAGTAGTAGCTTTGTTTTAACTTAACTTAAACTAGTTTATAAATAGAAAATTGAAGGTAATATATTATACTTATAGTGCTATATAGAAATAATTAACAATAGTTCAAACCTAATATTATCTTGATATTTATTATATAACTATTTGCTTTCTATATTTAATATATTAAATAAAAAAAATAAAAAAAAAAATAAAAAATTTCAAGTTGATTTTATTCTAAATTTTATTTAGTAGTTTATTGTAGATAATTGCTGATTTGAGTTTTTTCAGTGGATTTTTTATTTAGAAGGTGTTTTTTTAATTTTTAAATTGATTTTATTCTGAATTTTATTTGGTAGTCAATTGTAAATAATTGCTGATTTGAGTTTTTTTCAATTGATTTTTTATTCAAAAGGTAATTTTTTAATTTTCAAGTTAATTTTATTCTGAATTTTATTTGATAGTCAATTGTAGATAATTGCTGATTTGAGTTTTTTTTAGTTAATTTTTTATTTAGAAGACAATTTTTTAATTTTTAAGTTGATTTTATTATGAATTTTATTTAGTAGTCAATTGTAGATAATTGCCAATTTGAGTTTTTTTTGTTAATTTTTTATTTAGAAAGCAATTTTTTAATTTTTAAGTTAATTTTATTCTAAATTTTATTTAGTAGTCAATTGTAGATAATTGCTGATTTGAGTTTTTTTTGGTTGATTTTTTATTTAGAAGGTGATTTTTTAATTTTTAAGTTGATTTTATTCTGAATTTTATTTAGTAGTTGATTGTAGATAATCGCTAATTTAAGTTTTTTTTAGTTAATTTTTTATTTAGAAAGTGATTTTTTAATTTTCAAATTGATTTTATTCTTAATTTTATTTAGTAGCAATTATAAATAATCACTGATTTAAGTTTTTTATACTAATTTCATATTGATTTTTATTTTAGAAGATAATTTTTTTTAATTCAAACTGATTTTATACCAAATGTTATTATAATTTGTTCTAATCAAATTTTTATTTGTTAGTCAATTTTTTATTTTAGTTGCTGAATTTTAGATTAATGTTTATTTTTAGATATTGATTTTTAAATTTGGAAGCCAATTTTAAGATAAATATAAGCTGAATTTTATTAATATTTGGTATAGTTAATTTTCATATTTTCAACTAGTAAAGGCTATTGTAGCTATAATTGAAGGTACTATAAAAGCTTTTTATAGTAAAGAAAAAAGAAAGAAGATAGTAAAAAAAAGTAAATAAAAAAATAAAGATGATGATAAGAGTAGTAGTAGTAGCAGTAAAAGTGAAAATAAAAGCTCAGAAAGTGATAGCCCACTAAAATTACTAGATAAGAATTAATTAGCATATCTTTAAGTAAGTATAGTATGATCTGTTTTCTGTTTTTGTTTTTCTGTTTTTTATTTCAGATTATTATTTTTTCTTTATAAGATGAAATAAAGATATTAACTAAGAATAGTAGCTTGTCTAACTTTAAACTAGCTTCTAAAAAATATAGGTATCTTAGCAAAAAGATATAAGAAAAAATCTAATTCTAGCATTAATAGAAAAATTGCTCAGCTTTAAAAATTATGCTATAAATATTAAAAAAATATTAAAACAGCATCATAAGACACAAAGACATACTGCTCAAATAATTGCTAATTGTGATCTACAAGAATACAATTGAAAATAAATAGCAAGAAATAGCAAAGTGAATAAAGTAAAAATAATATATATATAAAAATATTAGTAGATTTTTGTAATTTGATAATTATTAAATTACAAAAATCTGCTAATATTAAAATATAATTCATTATTGTATATAAAAAAAAATAAAAAAAGAAGAGAAGATATAAAGCATTAGCATATTTAATAAAGACCAGTAACAAAAGAATTAAAAGATATTCTTGAGATAATTTGAAGTTGTTAATATAAAGTAAAGATAGAAATATCTACTACTCTACTAAGAGTAGGTAACCGATGAAGATAGTAATAAAAAATAAATATGTACAGATAGATATTAGCATGGTCTGAATATTGGTATCAGTATATTATTTTCATAGACAAGATATCACAAAATAAGCTAAGATTATCTATAATCCTAGCTTATTTTATGATATCATATCTATGAGAATAATCATTATTAAAATTTAAAATATATAATTATTTTACTAATATTAGCCTAATATAGCCTAATATTATTAGATTAAATAGCTATTTTACAAAAGAATTGATCCTTATATAAAACTATTTCAGCCTAAAAACAAGAAAAAGATTGAATACTGCTATGAAGATAATATCAATGATACTAGTAAATCTTCAAATGATTGTTTGAATTAGGTATTATCTAATGAAGTCTAAAAGAGTATAATTTAATAGCAAAAGATTTTGATGCTGATTATTCAACTAGTGATAAAGACCCAAGAAAAAAGAAAAAAAGGTAAGTGAAAAGAGCAAAAAAATAAAAAGAGAAGGTAGTAAGAAAAAAAAATATATATATAGATAAGGCAGAAGATATTAGGAAGGAAAAAAGTGAGATAGGAGATATTAGGCAAGAAAAAGGTAAAGCAGGAGATATTGAGAAAGAAAAAGCTAGAGCAAAAGATATTAGAAAAGAAAAAGCTAAAGCAGAAGATATTAGAAAAGAACAAGGTAGTACAAAAATGAAAAGAAAAGATAGCTATACAGATAATAATAATAGTGATGATGATATAGTAGTACTGTAGAAATAATAAAAGAAAAAAATAAAAGAAACTGAAGAAAGTAAAGAAGAAACCTCTTCAGATGATTTGCTCTCTGAATATGAGACAACCTTAAGTGAACTATTAATAGCTGAAGTAGCAACAAAAATAGTAGCAACAAAAACAGCAGTAGTAACAACAGTAGTAGCAAAAACAGCAGTAACAAAAACAGCAGCAACAAAAACAGCAACAGCAAAAATAGCAGAGGTAACAACAGCAGCAACAAAAATAGCAATAGCAAAAATAGCAATAGTAAAAATAGCAGAAGCAATAACAGGAAAAAGTGCTGATGAACTAATAGAGATAGTAATATACATCAAGTCTATTAAGGGGTAATTCACCCTCAATAGGATCTAGTAAACTATTAACATCAAAAAAGACAGCCAATAGAACTAAAAAAAAACAACTAAAAAAATATCTGAAGAAGATGATCTATTAATATTTGAAGCAAAAGAAGTTAAAAGTGAAGAAGTTAAAAATAAGGAAAGTGGAGAAGAAAGTAGAAAAGAAAGTAGAGAAAAAGGTGAAAAAAAAGGTAAAGAAAAAAGCAGAGAAGAAAGTAAAGATAAAAATAAAGAAAAAAAGAAGAAAAAAAAGAAAGATGATAGTAATAAGAAATCAAAGAAGAAGCAAAAAAGAAGCGATAGTTTATAAATATATAATTTTTATTTTACTTTATTGTATTTTATATAATAACTAGAGAATAAATAATATTAGCTATATATCACTATAAGTAAAAAAAAAAAATAAAGTAATCATTAAAGTGATATTTTAGTGAATATAAATATCAAATAAAATATAATTAATGATCTGATAATTTAATAATATTTCTATTATAAAAGAATAAATGAATATCATTCTATAAATATTTTGAAGATATATAAAATCAGCTAACTGATATTTATAATATTATAATAATATTATTATTATAGAATATATTAAGTTTCAGTAAATAATTGATAAAAAATTATTAAATACTAATAAAATATCTAATTTATAGTTTGTAAATAAAATAAGATGATTGATTTATTATACAAATTTTGCTAAAATATTAGTTTAATTAGCAAATTTTTAAATAAACTAGCCAATAATATATTAGCTTATAATTTATCTAATCTTAGTATATCTTTAAACTTACTAACAGTATATTGCCACAAAATCTTATAATAATCTTATACTCGATATTTAAGTATTTTAATCTAGCTATAAACTAATATTTGATATATTTCGCCAAAATCTTTAGCCTATTGGCCTATTATTATTATTAAAAAAAATCTGATTATAGTCTTCATCATATCAGCCTACTATTACCTTTTCTGATTATGTACAGATATTTGGATAATATTTTTAATTTTGACCAGTAACATTACATTAAAAATTGTTACAAACGAAAAGAAGATTTTAGACATAATTCTTATTCTGACTCCTGATCTAGTCACTACAATAGTTCCTGCTCTAATCATAACTATAGGTCAGACAATAAAAAGAATAATGATCATTATTATAATTACTTTTGATCTTGCAAAAGAAACAGATCATATGATAACAACAGATGCTATGATACTTCAGGTATAATGACAGAAATAGAAGCTAAGAAAAAAGCCATTCACAAAATAGATACAGAAATAGAAACCAAGATAACAATAGCAGAAGCAGATCTAGAAGCTAATCCTCTACTCTTTACTCTAGAGAAGCCTATTCAGTAGACATTATTAATAATTATGATTTTGAACAATTTGAATTATATTTCTTTGATAAGTCATTGCAAACTACTATGGAAACCTACTTTGCTACTTCTTTTTCTAACAATACTATTCAAGCCTCAACTTATACTACACTAGTAAAATGCAATATCAAAATTAAGAACAAACCCTATCAAGCTATTATTAATAGTAGTGCCTCAATTAGTATAATCTCATATCAAATCGTTAAAGAATTAGGACTCAAAATAGATACTTGCTCCTCTAGTCTAATTGTGTTAGCTACTTTAGACCCTTAGAAATAATCAAAGACTTTTCTATAGAAATTGAAGGAATAACTATTCCTTTAAATGTAGAAGTTATAGATACTACTTCTTATTGCCTCCTTCTAGGCAATAACTAGTTTCAGAAAGTTGAAGCTATGTATAATTAGAAAAATAGTACCTATACTCTAAAATAGAATAAACAGAAAATTCATATACATACTACCTATGAATATACTAACCTTTACCAACTCAACCTACAGTAAAAGAAAAGCATGAGTTGGATTAGTTTGAGCAAGAATTCCTATTTCAAAAGAAGCTTATACTCTAATTACTACAGATCCAGAAACTGATAACTAACCTTAGATAACTCTAACTTCTAAACTCAAAAACAGACCTCTTATAAACAATTAATACAAAAGATATAGAAACTGCTACTCAAATA